TCCTTTCTCATGGTCAAGCTGAATTTTTGTTCTCATTCCTACTGGCACATTCAGTTCATTAGGCCTCGTCAACAGACACATATTTCTTGCCAAGTACCTCCTATTGCCAGGACTTAGGAAATCTTTTGGAAAAAAATGCTGCTGGCTGCCACCTCTTCCTTTCCAACTGAACATGCCACTTCAATTTTTGCTACTATGGCTGCACCATGAAAGATCTTCCACTGTTGCTCAAGTGGTTCAAAAGCAAGCATAAAAACTCATTATTTCTTCATAACTCTGCATCTTCTCTCATCCTGGGATGACAGTCCTAACCACATAAGGTTAAATACATGGAAACAAGGGAAACCAGCCACAAGCAGGATAGCTCCCCACAGGCTGGAAAGCCTCACTCTGCAGCCAAATCCAAAATGACAAATAAAGTACACAGATTTAGGTGCTCACCAGCCTCATGTAAACAGTCTTTTTGTTTCCACCTGAATTGGAAAAGGATTAAGGTTTAGCAACAGGAAGTAGAGAAGATGAGCATGGTAAGATACAGCTACTGCTGGTCTCTGCTGCCTTACCCAAAAAAGCTTGCTGTCTTCTGCTCAGAATGACAAATGGAGTTTGCATTTTCCTTCTGATGATAACCTGGTTAAGACTGTCTGTATTATTTGGTTCATCTGATAGCAAAATGAGAGCAGGGCAAAGAGAAAAACTCACATTTATTAGTAATACCAAGTAGGGTCATCAATATGTGATGAATAATTGCTAGAAAGAGACTTGTTTTTTTGGAGTACTCTGCCAGCAGGTTTAGAAGCCATTTGGATAACAAACACAGAGGGGAAATAAACAAGTGGAAAATGGAATATTGCAAGGTTACAACATGCTATCAGAGCACCAAATGAAAATAGGTGTTATGTTAGTTAAGGTCCCTTGACCAGTCTGCACCAGTACTTCGCTGAAGGCAAGTTTATATTCCAGATACTGGAAATTCAAATATATAAACCATTCATTCTTCCATCAATTCACTTATAGGTGATGAAAACAGTCTGGCTCTGACTTTGGAAAGTATCTGATTCAGTGTTTGAATTAGCAGATATGTGGGCAACTGTGACAACAAAAGCAAGGGAGCTGTGTCCTGGGGAAAAGCAGGCTGTGTTTTGTTTCAGTTGGAAACCTTTTAGCAAATATGCAGGATAGAGCAAATAAAGGGGAAAAAGCACATTTATGCACCCTAAAAGCAGCATGACAAAGGTACTGATCATGTGAACATCTCAAAACACTGAAGTGGAGAGCCTCAGGGACTGAAAACCAATTAGACATTAGGCAATGGCCTGTAATACATGAGTCAGCTTAAGGATTTGTGTTGGCGTGGTAGCTTGTCTCAACAAAGTTTTGTTCTGTGCTTGCTTCATTGCAATGAGTAAGAAGCAAAAAAAGCCAAAACAAAAAACAAAACATACCAACAGGCCTGCATGGATGAGCAAGGAGATCCTGGCAAAACTCAGGCACCAAAGAGAGCGTGCAGAGGGTGGAGCAGGGATGGGTAGCATGGAAGGAACAGAGACACTGAGCACACAGAAACATGGTTAAGAAAGCCAAAATCCACCTGGAATTTGATCCATTCAAGGTTTTGATGGGATGCACCAATGAGTGCTGAGGGAGCTGGCAGATATCATTGCAAGGCCACTCTTGATAGTCCTTGATGATGATGGCAACTGTGAGCAGTGCCAGAGAAGTAGAGGAGAACAAACATCACCCCAGTCTTCATGAAGAGGAAGAAAAAAGATCCATGTTGAACACAAGTCAGCATTGCATCCTCATGGCAAGGAAGGTTAAGGGTATCCTGAGCTGCAGGAGGCAAAACATTGTCTGCAGGTTGAGGGAGGTGATCCCTTCCCTCACCTCAGCATCAATGAGGCCACTCCTGGAGTTCTGGGCTCCCCCATAGAATAAATATATACATCTAAAGGAGAGTGAAGGGCCACAAAGATGATGGAGACTGGAGTATGTCTTCTGTGAGGAATGGCTGAGAGAGCTGGGGCTGTCCTGCCTGAAGCAGGGAAGGCTCAGGTGGGGTTTCATCAGTGCATGGAAATTTCTCCAGGGAGGGTGCAGAGGCCAGAGCCAGGCTCTCTTCAGCAAGGCCCAGGGGCAGGACCAGAGGAAATGAGCACACATCTCTGAAGATCAAGTAGGGGGCTTGAGCAGGGGAGCAGAGCCAGGTCACTTCCAGAGGTCCCTTCCAAGCTCAACTGCTCTGTGACTGTGGAAAAGCCATGACTGAATTTTGAAAGTGTATAGCCGTAACAACTCTCCTCTTCAGGTCACTCAACCCATGCTAAGTTTAATAGGATGATGTTGGAAGAACAGGAAGGGTAGGAAGGAAAAATATTTCTTTCAGTTCTTTCTGTCAAGATAAACAATTGTAAGCCAGTACTGCACTGCTGACAGGTCTTATTTTTCTTTCAAGTTTGACTGCACCCAGGGTAGCACACTGGAACACTGAGCAATCACAGCACCTCACTTCTGGCACATGAGCCATTGATGACCCCGGGAAAAAAATCATCCCCAACAAAAAACAACTCCAAACCAAAGCCCAGCCACCCACTGGAAAGGTTTATCCTGGTGAGCAGTCACCACAGATCAGCTGTATCTATCACTGAAAATCAAATTGAGTGAAAACTGTGCAGCCAAGCCCGCCAGACCCACAGCCTTCACTCCAGCCATTAAATGGCCACAGGTGTCTGTGGCTCCTGTATTTCTGTACACTGAGAGGTTTTGAAAGAATGCATTAGTGATCCATATCTGCTACCTCCTCCTGCAAGATGGGAGGACAGGAATAACGTGAGGAAAGAATGGAAGACACAGAGGGTATCTAAGCACAAAGCTTAGCCTTTCCAGCCTCAGGATTTATTTTTGCTGGGAGATACTTAATCACCAAGCCAGGGCACTTGGAAGAAAAAATAAACACAAGAGAAACTTGTATTTAAAGACATAGGACTTTAAAGGGATGTAGTGGAAAAGGCTGTTGAAATCACTGGACACACAGGGGAATTACTCCAGCTGATGGTTTAAATTCAGGCTTGTTCAAAGCACATAAAGGAGTTCACCTATGAAGCGTTAGGGAAGCACTGTCACATCCTTAAGCTTTGTTATTGAGTGATTATTTTTTTATCTGGAGCAGGACATGGCACCTCTGAGTCAGATTCCAGCAGCTGAATTATCTTGGACAATACTTCTGCTGCTGTGAGAGGAGCTCTCAGAGTAGCATTAAGATCTTCCAGAAGAGTAGCTCTCAGAAGAGCATGAGGGAAAAAAAACACCAATATGACTTTCTCTTGACATTAATGCAGCCATAGATGGTTTTGGTACTTCATTGGGAATTCTAGTCTTGGAAGCCTTCCATTTTTGTGTTTCAGTGCTAGAGAGAAAATAACTTCTACAAACTCAGAAGTTTGTGTCTTCCACCCATAAAATATGAGTTGCATCAGCATTCAAAGCTGTCCAAAAGTGAAGTGCCTCAGGAAATACTCTGGATTATCACTGCCACAGGAGCAATTTCACAGCTCCATTATGGGCCTGTTTGAGTGAGAAATTACATATTGCTGAAATACTACCATGAAGCTGATTTATGAAGTGTTACTTTTAAAACAATTAAGTGGGTGTGGGTGGCTTTGTTTTCTATAATAGAATAGTAGAGTGAAATAATAATAGTAAGATGAAAGATTATTTTCTACACTTTTTTCAATTATTTAACTTCTAGCTTAATACAAAAAAAATTCAAGAAAAAAACAAACAGGCTTATTCTAAAATTTAAGTAATTTTTTTTTTATAAGTGTTACATATTAATATTTAAATGCATCCAGCATGATTAAATAGGAAGCCTCTACTAAATCCAAGCAGAGGAGTGGAGATGAATGAGAACATTAGTTGTATTACTGTTATTTATTTTTAAGAGTAATTATTATTTAATAATCATTCAAATCAATGGGTATGCCTTTCATGGTATGTTTATATAATGTAAAGGTCAACACTAACAGTGCATTAAGAAGTGTGTGTGTGTACATCTGTAAAGTGAACAAAGGGAGATGTCAGAAGGATTCAATTCAATGCAAGAGAGACTACACAGAAGCTGGCAGTTTTAATCAGTGTTGAACAGAATCCACCAAATATACTGTCCCACAACTGCTGAACTGTGCAATTATGCAACTATTTGCAAAAAAGCCCACCCTAGTGAAGAAATGTCCTTGGCAGCAAATGCCCATTGAAAGAAAAACATAAATTTCTTTATGAAATGCCACAGCAGACCAGGCCAGACCCACAGCTGAGCCCACAGCTCAGGGAGATGCAAGAGCTCTCAAGGAGAAAAAGGAAGGCTTCTGCCATGGCTGGTTGAAAACATAAGGGGTAAATATTGCTCAGTACCTGCACATCAAAAGCAGAGAGCCAGGGAAGAAGCAGTGCTTGATTGCAGAGCAAATAAAAGAAACAGATGTTTTTGGCTGTGTAGAATTTGGAAAGGCATGCTTAGAAACTGCAAGGGGTAGCCTCTGTGCTCAGCTGTACAGGAAACCAAATACATGAACATCAGTCAGAACTAATTGTAAGATAAGAGTTTTTGAATTTTTTTTTTTCCTCAATAGAAAGAACTAAGCAAAGTCTCAAGTGCCTGCTTAAGCTGAGATACAAGAGTTGTTTTAGAAACACTGGCAAAATCCTTGTTCTGAGCATTCTCAAGTAGCACATTCATGCAAAGAAATGTTTAACTATAGGACAAAAGGTAGGCTGTCCTCCTAGAAAGAACTGCAACACCTGAAGGCTGCATTATCATAAAAAGCTAAATTCTGGAAAAAGATCAAAGGTGGATGTTCCTGAGCTGTTTCTATTGGTAAAGCAGTAGCTTGCAAGCCCTTACGTCAGCCGAACGTACAACAGTGAGAGCCGACAACAATTCCATTTATTCCTCAGCTTGGCTTGAGAAGCAGCCCCTGATCTGACTCACTGCTCACATCCTGCTCCAGCACTTCCCGTTCACAGCAGAAGCTCCTTCCAGCACCACGTGCAGAGGGAACACGGGGAGATTCCACAGAGGTAAGAAACAAATTGAGTTTTCTGTCTTGAACGAGCAAGTGCTAGAATTGCAGTATTTGGGCTATGGGTTTTGGCTGAGGTCTTTTATACTTGCTTCAGATGATGTAGGCGTGGGGAAAAATGAAAAAGAAACTATATGGATTTGGCGTCTGGTTTGTTTTTTCTCCTTTGTCACAAGCGACAGTTTGTCTGAGGAAAATCTCCAGATTGAGGGGGTTCCCAGCTGTGTAACTGCTCTCCCCTGTGCTGGCTCCCAGCTGGGGCCTGCTTAGCTGCAAAACAAAGTGAGGCCACCACTAAAACAAAAGACATTTCCAACTAATTTTCTCACTGAATTCCGCTTTGCCTTTATTTCTTTCTGCTTTTCCTTCGTCATTAAAGTGACACGCTGACAGAAATGACTGAACAGGGAGTCTCAGTTCAGTGAAATTCAGAGGATGAACACCAGGCTGAAAACAATCAAATCACACTCTCTGCCTCAGAATGTCACCTGAGCAAGAGCAAAGGCTCAAGACATTCAGCATCTTGGCAATGATGAGCTCTAGGTAATTTCTCAGGTTCTGAATGGTTGCTGTTCACAAACTGGCAGAGAGTAACAGCAGCTGAAAAGGAAGGCAAGAGGTCCCAGGGTGCTGAGCAGCACAACCACAAAACCTAAGGTCCAGCCTGCAGGCAGTGAAGAAGTCAAGTGTAAGAGTAGCAAGACAAGAAAGAGGGCAAACAAATGTACAGGAGGGTTTTCCCAAACTGAGTCACTGTGGTTTCTGTTACAAGTGGTGGTGGAAATTGAAGAAAAAAAAAAAAAAAAAAAAGAACCAAATTCTGTTGCACAAGCAGGCTTCAGACAAATTTTGTGTCTTGGTTTTGACAGATTTATATTAGATTAATTTAAAAATAAACCACAAAAACTATGCAGCAATAGATGTACATGCCAGTCCCAATAAGAGGGCATTTAAAACAACTTTCCTATCTTAAAATCTATTTTTTTTCTTTATCACTTTATCCTTGAGAGGGGACTGTACCCAACAAATTAATGCAGGGACAGAGGAAGGTAAGAGAGACACCTGGGAAAAGTACAGAGCAAAAAATGTCACAAAATCTAATTTCTTACACCTCCTCACCATGAATCTGGCTCAGGCTCCTTAAGAGCCTGCTCATGCCAGATAATTTTGTCTTTTTGAAAGCTAAATAGAAGTGTTTCACCATTTGACTAAAAGTGAATCCTGAGGAAGAAGTGAAATGACACAGCTATAGATTTCAGTTCTCATTAAATCAAAAAGCTTGCCATTACTTGGAGTTTATCTTGGTAAAACAAGTGTAAGTAGTGCAAAGGTCAGCACTGATTTTTCATTCTAGAGAAATTATTTGTCTCTTTCTGGAAAGGAAAAGGAGGTGGTGAGAAATTTTCAGCTCTGAGGGCTCTTCTTGTAATATAGTTCAGGTTATTGGAATATTTACCACGATTAGCATTACAAAAAAGTCTCTGATACACTTTCCCCATTTGGGAAAGCCCTAAAAAAAGATTGTATGGTTGTATACCACACTCAGGAGACTGATCTTTTGGTAGAGCAGTCACCAGTTCTGGGCATTTTTTTCCCCAGAGAAGTCACTCAGTGGTTGGGGGGAGGTGAGGGATGGGTGAGAGAAGAACATTTCACTTTACAAAAGAAAAAATTATATATTCTTTAAAAAGAAAAAAAGCCAATCAACACCATCACCAAACCACACACCCAGGTGAAGTCAGCTCTTTAGGGGGGTTCTTGGATTTTCCCACCTTATCATGGTAAATGGCATCTACAGTTTTCTGCTAACATAAAACAGAGACCTGTTGGAGGAGATCCAGAGTAAGTCCAAAAACAGTGCTGGAACACCTCTCCTCTGAACACAGGCTAAGAGAATTGAGGTTGTTCAGCCTGGAAAAGGCTCCATGGAGACCTCAGAGGAGCCTTTCAGGGGCTGGTAAGAGAGAGACTTTTTACCAGGGCCTGTAGTGACAGGACAGAGATTTTAAACTAAAAAAGGATAGATGTAGGTTGCACATAAGGAAAAGATTATTTACTGTGAGAGTGGTGAGGGAATAAAATGGTTTGCCCAGAGAAGTTGTGGATGTCCCATCCTTGGAAGCACCCAGGCCAGGCTGGATGTGTCTCTGAGGAACCTGCTCTAGTAGAAGATGCCCTTGGGGAACAAGATGATCTTTCAGGGTCACTTCCAACTCATTCTGTGCTTCTATGATGAATACTTAAGAATCCCTTGAAAGAGTTCAGCTGGTTTGTCTTTCACACCTTTCTCACTTTCCTTCTCTGAACTGTGTTACAGCCTTCCCTCCCTCAGGACACAGAGCCTACACAGCAGCTGCCTCCTATGGAAGCTGAGCATTCCTAAACAGCCACCAAAGGTGACAGCCCAGGTGCCAGGACATGTCCATGACTGAGTTTTGGTTCAACAGGTGAGAGGAATAAGGGGAGGAGAGGAAAATGCATAAAAACCATCCTCTGAGCAATGGGACACTTCTCTGCTACAGTCCAGTATATGCACACACACACTGAATGTGATCATACTTCACTGAGTCTCTCACTGAACACTGACAATTTTCAGGGGCATTTGGGGATGTGTATACATTGTGAATGTACCTGCAGTCATATTTTTCAAAGCAGCCTGAGCCTCAGATACTTCCATTCATTGGTTTCAGTTCACATTGGCTCATGTTTTTTAAACTGCAGCTTGAGGCAAATCCTAACCCCAGGGCAAGGTGTGGTGCAGAGGAGCCTGTGCTAACAGGAGCTGGAGAAGTGCCACTGTCTTAGTGTAGCATTGCATGGGCATGAATTCCATGTGCTGAAGGGAGTTATTAATTGCATCACTCCAATACCCAAAGTTTCACTCCAAATTCACTTCTGTAAGAAAGAACAGTGGTGAGTGGTGCAATCCAGTTTTTGCTTGGTGCAGTTGAGGAATGCAACTTCATTACAGAATGGGAAGGATGGAGAAAACAGGCAAATTATTCATCTAGATTACTATGATGGGTTATAATCTATAGGGTTATAATTTTAAAAATTATTTCTACAACTTAGTTTTGCATGTATTTATTTTCCTCTTACACCACCTTGTGCATATGCTACCATGCCATTTTCCGTTCTATTTTATTCCACTTACAACATCCTTGCAAGGCTTCCGAAAAGAGCAGGCTAAATGAGATGGAGGCTGCTGTTTGCTTGATATTTTTCTTGCCTCCCATCAATTTATGAATATAGTTAGTTGTACAATCCAAACACATTTCTCAACTAAGTGCATTTAAGTGTAACTTCCAACTCTGGCTTCTCTTCTAACATCTGAGCACCCCGTGTTCTACATTGGCATGTGCTTAAGTTCTGAATCGGAAGTTTTTTTGTAAAAGCCAAATTGCTTTCAGCTCCTTTATCAATAGTCTTGCCAGGCCAATGATTGCTGTCACCACAGAGAGAGATCAGAGCGAGAGCCAAGCAGAACCTTCCCACTGTCTCTCCAAAGGGAACTGATTTATTTTGACATCAGGAAAGGGAAGAGCATACAGAACTCCATATATGACCTCCTTGTGGTAGACCTTAAACTTGGTTGTTCTTCTTACCCAAATGCAATTACCCAGAGGATGACATTTTCTTTAAATAGCAATAGCAATGATGAAGGGAAAAAAGAAGATGCCCAGAAGACTTTGAGAAATCCACAACGTGAACAGAAATGGAGACAGGAGTGTGCCCATTTTCCAGCTCTACCACAGATCCAGCAAGGGCCATTCCGTGGTTAATTCACTTCCACACACTCCTCACTCAGTCACCCATAGAGATGCAGCTGAAAACTCAGCCTGCAAGCTAAGTTTCCCTGGCAGCTGGCAGGACTATGGGTAGCACTGTACTTACACTTCTCTGAGATTTTTGAAAGATATTTAGATTCATAGACCCTGTATGAATCTAGAGGCCCACAGTGATAGGATCTATACAGCAGAATCTCATCAGAGCTTCTATTGTCTCCTACAACAAAATCAATATTCTTTTACAGAATGATTTGTTTAAGATAAGGAAGGATTTTTTTCTTGACAAGAAATTCTGCAACAATATGTGAGGATGGGACTCCCTGGGGTCCCCATGTGTTGCATTTCTTGCACCTTTCTGCTGGGAAAGGGAGTAGGGGCATGAAATTCAAAGCTTCAGAGCTAAAAGGTTTTCCTGGAAAAGCCCCCTCTATAAGATAGCTGTGTCAAGCTACAGAATCAGGGGTCAGAATTGCATTTCATTTCGTCCCTAAGACGCATGTAAATCCCTGTGCTGTAACATATTTTAATACACCCTCCCCCATTTCTTCTCTCACCACAGAGGAATGAAGCAGAGAAGAGAGTGTTGATTTGTACTAAAGCATTGTCATCCATCCAAAAGTGTACTCTGGGGAAGCCTAATTCCATAAACATTGGCCCACACTTGGGATCTATTAATGTCAAGGAAAGCAGCAGTGTCTTGCTGAGTACAAACTCCTTTTACAATACCAGGATAGAGCTGCACAAGTGCCTGGATGAAACCTTCAGAGTCTCAAACCAAAAAGCAAAACAACTAATTAAAGAGCCAGCAGGGTTGTATGGTAGGTCTGTCTAGGGGATCTTTGAATTTCCTCATGGGAAACTTCTGTCCTCAAATATTATCCTCCACACAGTTAATTTCACCTTTTGAGAACCTTGCTGTGGCTACAGTTTTCATGGTGGTCATGCAATGAAGCCACTTCATTACAGCTGCTTTCCAAATATTGCTTTCACTGAAGCTGAGCCACCCAATTCCGATGCAGAGTGACCTGCAGGAGCTGATCCGAGCCAGTGCAGCTTTGCTGGCTTGACATGGCTGGCAGCATGTCCCTGCCTCAGACCCACCTCAGGCGTGTCCCACACCTCAGAAGGGAGAGAAGGATCTAGCTTAGGATATCCTCGGTTAAAATTCAGTTTTATTAGCTTGGTTCCTATTTTCTCTTACTCTTCTGTGATGAGAGATGTGTGAACAAGTTTCCCACTCAGAAATAGTCCTCATGTCAAGGGTTATCTCCAGGGGGTGTAAATGGAAGCTTCAGCTCCAATGCACCTTGTGTTTGCAGGCCATAAGGCAGTGATTTGGGGGTGAAGCAGCTGTAAGAGATAGAGCTCAGGGAGGTCACACAAATCATGGCAAGGCCACCAGTGACTCCCTACCAGCAAGGTGTGGATCAGAGACACCCCGTGTCTTGTTCTGCTTAGGCCAGGGCAGGTATTTCATCTTGGGTGGCTCCAGAACAGGGACTGCAAGGCCCAGACATTTTGCCATCCTTAATAACTGTGTGGAAATAGGATTATTTCAATTTCTGAAACCTGTGTTCTGTTTCAGAGCTGCCCTGAGGTGTTCACTGTCCTTCAGCTGCCAATTCAATCTCTCAAATGATTGTTTACATTACAGCTTCAGTGATTATAAAAAGGCCAACATGCAACACTCTTAGTTCAGTCTGCTAAATAAACAGTCCTAGAAGGACCAAGGTCAGCTTTGAGTTCCTCCCAGTCTGGGGCATTGAAAGATACAAATTCAACAAGGCTCTTCAAATCCCATCTGGTAGCAGGACAGGAACGTAAGGGCTTTGAACTACAAATACGAGATCAGCATGTTAACATCTAGAGAAGATTTCTGTGAGTGCTCTGAGGAAACTAGGTCATGTCAACTTCACATACCTTGAATGCTTCCTACAAATCATTTCTAACTTGGGTTGAAGCCAGAAGCTACTACTTTGTTTAACAGCTGTCAGTTAAAACTCAGGACAAATCACACCAAATAACTACTAGTCAACTTTCCACAAATGTGTCAGCAAGGGGAGGGGAAAAAAACCAACTTGTTCCATGACATTCTCACAAATAAGACAGACATTTGTGTCTGCAGAAAGGCCAGCTGTAAAGTTTAATGCCATTCCATAGTGCTCTAAATATCCAAATACAATACTTTGTTTTCCTGCATTATAATGAGGCCTTAGGATGTTTGGCAGCCAGCTGTAAAATATACACAATGCCATACCTAATCAATTAGCACCTGGTACTTTGCCATCTGAGGACACCACATCCCTTTTCCTTTGAGAGCTAGGGATGCAGTAGGTGGCCCAGAAGTCCCACCCAACACTCCTCCCCACTGCCCCAGCTGAAGTTACAAGATGCAGTTTGGGTAAGAAGTAGGTAATTGTGACATTCCTATCAAGGATCAATCACCTCAAGCTCCCATTGAATACATCAGCTCTTTTTACCTATACGCAAAGATAATTTGGAGAAGGAATCCTGCCTTTCCAAATCAAAGTTTCTGTGCAGTTTTCACCTCAAGTTTAGTCATTTCTGAAGGCCCAAGTCTGGCCATCTCTTACCACAAGTACTCAGAACTCAAGTTTTGGGCACATCGAAAAGATGAGTTTGCATGAAGAAAACCTTCTTGGTGGCAAGAGAGGATGTGAATTCAGACAGTCCAGCTGTGGGAACAGGGCTGTCAGGGAAAACATCTCTTCCCACCCATAGGAAGACCCACTCAGTTTCTACATCTGTCTGGACTAAAAGTAGCAATGACATTGCAATGACAAAAATCCTCCTGTTTGTTAGACATCTCCCTGGAAGTGTCTACTTCCCTAGAATCTGATGGCAAAGCAGAAAAATCAATTGTTTATTTTAGCAGCAACAGCTGTGCATTGAATACTACTGGGCTTTAGGAGAGTTTGACTGTAGTGGAAGCACACTGATAAGTACTTTGAGGCATGCAAATAAGGACATCCCTTCCATCCAAACAAAATATCCTCAGCATACTACGAGATGCCAAAGCAGCCCAGCCAGATATGGTCCTGCCTTTACCCTGCACATGGATAAATAATAAAGTATTTGGGCTATGATTTTAAACATTTTGTGCAGGAACAGAATAAAGGAAGGTAGTCTTTTCTAAGGACAGTGCAGCCAGCATTCTTAACTAGAGAAACCCAGAGATAAACAATGATCTCTCACATATCTAGAAGCACAGTTCCTTCAGCTGATATTTTACACATCACAGAACAGGGTTATTCACTGGTGTTTACATACATACACGATATGAGAGGAAGCTCAGATCCTGTCTCTGGTTTGGGTCTATTTGTACCTTAAGAGATCACTAAAGCAGAGACTACCAGAGGAGCTTGAGAGTAACCAGCTTAAAAGTTTTCACAGCTTGGATGCTCAATGTTTAAGTCACGAGTCTAGGAAATATGAACAGAGAAACATTTGAGAAGGCTGGCCCTGACACTACATAGCCATAACCATCTGCTCAGTTATGGATGGCCTCATAAATGACATTGGTTCTCTAATATCCCAGAAGGCATCCAAGGATTCAGAGTTCTTAGGGGATATTGGAGATTTCCACTCACACACCCCCTTGATTTTTGACATGGCTGGAACGACCAGTGCATCTTTCT